TCTCTTTCTTCTTCTTGTTCTTCTTCTACTTTTTCTTTTTCTTTTTCTTTTTCCTCTTCTTCCTCTTCTTCTTCTTCATTTTCATTTTCATCGTTATCTTCATCTGTAAAAAAAACAAGCAATTCTATCAAACAAACTTAATATATCTTAAAAATTTAACCTTTAACAATATCACTACCAAATACTTGTTGTTCACTAAGACCAAGATAAAGTAATGCTTGACCATAATAAAAATATGGTTCAGCAAGTTCAACTGCTGTATCACTTCCACGTAATTTTACACTGAAAAAAATTTACAAGAATTTTCTTTACAATAAATAATTAAGAAAATTTTCTTACATTCGTTCACATGTTTTTGATAAATGATCACATGCAGATTGATAATTATGTAATAGAACGTCTCGTTTACCGACCATAAATGATGTATTAGCTTCTTCATCTCTAAATAACAATTAGAAGTATTTATCTTTAGTAATAAATAATCTATAAAAACAAAATATCTTTTTCAATGAGTTCTCTCTCCATCTCTGTGTAAAAATTTTTATTTCTTAAACTTCAGTCAAATAAAAAACTGCTCACATTCATTTGGATATGAATTTATTATTACAAAGAATTTTTTACGAAATAAAATAACTCATAAAATTGTATTAATATAATTAAGATTATGAAATGAAAAATTTTTTTTAAACAAGTCATATGTCTCTATTCTTTCTAACTTACTCTATTTCAATATGATTTGATGATGTTGTTGCCATACTAATATTTAAAGTTTAATAATCTAGAACAAAAACAATATTTATTAAACTAACAAAAACATTTCTAATTAATGTATACAACATAAAAAGCGGCTGACTTATTTTTTTTTAATTTTCTTATACATATCTGATTAATAATAAAAGACTTAAATATGCGACACACAAAAACAAACAAACAAACGAATAGATAGATTGACTAGTTCATTTTGTTTTTTTTTCCTTTTGTGTATTGATATGAGATTTAAAAATGACAACAATTAATTAAACAACAGTTAGTTCTTCATTTGGTACTTTTGCACTTGTTAATGATGTTTCATCCGAATCACCACCATTTTCAGTTGTTAATGGATCCATAATTTTAATTTTTTTATTTGTTGTTGTTGATACAATAGCTTCTTCATCTTCATCTTGTTTTTGACCATTTTTTTTTTCATTATCATCATCTTTGTCAACTTCATCAATATCACGTTTATTATTATTATTATTATTATTATTACTTATTTTTTCATCATCATTGTTTTTTTCTATTGCATCTGCTGTTGTTTCCGTTTTATTTTCTTCTTGTTTTTCTTCTGTTTTTGTTGTTAATTGTTCATCCGATTGTGGAGCTTGTTTATCCTCATTTACTTTATTCACATTATCTTCATTCGTTGTATCTGTACTATCAGATTCCTTGCCATTTTTAACCTCAGCAACAGCAGGAATTTGTTTATCACTTGACATGACTTCTTGTTTTTTTTTTCTTCTGTACTGACAGATCTATGAATGTTCTTCGTGAAAAGGAAGAAAGAAAATGTGCAGATACTTGCTTATATATACGAGTTTTTGGTCTTTTTTCGTTGGTTAATTACTAATACCAATGAATTTTAATAAAAAGTTTTATTTCCGCTTTCTAAAATTTTATTTTTGATAAAAAAAAATAATTTTTTAGGAATTTAATTTATAATTATACATTTAATAATTATCAAATCATTTTCATATCTTATTATCCGTTTATGCATTTAGAATAATACTTATTTTGGAAGAAAAAAATTTAATAATTAATACTATCATCAATAGAGACTCATCAAATTACAATCCACCAGAAAATTAGTATAGTGGCATTTTATTCTTGTCTTAAACTTAGCAAAAAAAACAAAACTATTCCTGTGGTATAACGCCATCTTTCATATGATCTTCGTTTATAATTGTCTATCGAGAAAATTCTCATCTTTATACAATAGTGCCTTGTCTATCTATCCGTCTGCTCGCTATAATATATATTTGTGTATCTTTTTCTTTCTTTGGCATATATTCATTCGATAGTTCATAACAAGGATATCTGCTTCAGAATTTTGTTTTAATATACTAATTTTTCATTACGAAAGTAAGTAAAAAGAAAAATCAATCTTTTTTTTTTTATTAATTATCATGTAAATCTTAGTATTAAAAATTATGGAAAAAACCAATATATCCATTGAAAATGAAGAACAAGTACTAGAAGAATCAGGAAAAGTTGTTGATCATGTAACTGATGATGTTTTAAAGAAGATCGAAGAAATTCATGGTGAAATACAAACAATAGAAAATCAAAGCATAAATGAAAATGTTGAAACGAATGATGATGAAGTTGTACCATCAACAACACCAAAACCAATTGAAGAACAAGAAAATGTTATTGATACAAATATAAATGTATCAGCATGTGTTTCACCTGGTCGATCTACGACACCATTTAAAGAAGTAAATGAAAGTGAAAAAGAAACATGTACAACTATTGTTAATCGTACAGAGAATAAACGTGAATTAGATAATGAAGATGAACAGACAGAAGAAAAATTTGTTGTTAATAATGAACGAACAGGTGATCAAACAAAAAAACTTAAAATAAACGACACGATGGGTGAACCGATTGTTGAAACAAATGAATCGGAAGTTAATATGATTGTTAATGATACTATTGCTGTTGAAGTTTGATTAAGTGAGTTGTTCAAAGGATTATTAATTTTCATAATTTTTTGGAATATTTTATTTTTTTATTATAATTTTAGACTGTCAACAGGATGCGCTAGATTAAATAGATATAATTGTTTCTTTGTTTATTGTATAATTATATGTAGGTTTGTTTTACTCTCTCTCTCTGTCTTTTGATGTCTGTAATCTAAGTTTTCTTTCTTAAATGATCATAACTGTCAAAATATATTATGAACATGAACGTTATTCAAGGTCATATAAACGTACATAGAGAACATTGTCATCGTCTTCAGGATTATTATCTTCATCAGCATCGACAAGTATAATACGATCAATAGATTTATCTTTTAAACATATATTAATAATAGCAGCATCTTCAGCTTCTCGTTGTGTTTTTGATGATCCAGGAATTTTCGGCAAGAGATATAAATCATTTTGATCATCAATTTGATATCGAATTGGTTTGATAGGTGTTGGTGATAATTGACGTTGAATTGGTGGCAAGCTGGAATGCTTTGTTGCAGCAATAAATGATTGAGGATTTGTATGTAGATAAGTATTTGGTTGTAATAAATATTTACACATCGCACAACGATCAACATCTTTACTACTACATCCATAATGACTATAGACATGATATATTGGACCTTGGGATGACTAAAGTATGAAGTGTAAATTTATAAAAAAAAAAAAGATAATGAAGAGAATTTTTTTACTCGATTTGGTGTAGAAGGAATGAATATAGGCGTTTGCCTATGTTCGACACTTCTGTTCGGTGTATACATTAGAAAATGATTCTAAAAGCTTATAAAGAAGACCACCTACTGTGTCTGTGATAGGTATGAATGTTATTAATGTTGACAGAAGTAAAGTATTATAATTTTTCACATGAAATTTATTATGAAAAAAAAACAGAATTGACAAACAATTTCTACTCGATTTTATTTCAATTGTGAGCCTGTCATATAATGAGTTGTCTATCACCATTCATGTTGAACTATAGTATCTCACAGATTTGAAGAAGTTATATAAGTCATCCTAAGATTATGAAATAAATAAATAGAGAAATCATGTCACGAATTTCGATGTATTAAAATCTCAATCGACATATAATTTATACTAAATATTTCAAAAGTCAACCGACAAAAAATGTATTTCGGCAAGATATAGTTCATGATTCTTATGGAAGTGTTGGTGGCAAGTTTGTAAAAAAGAATTTTACACCGTAGATCCTCTTCATTCGAATCAATAATTGGATAGTTAACGAATTTTAAAATTATTACTCTTCCTATGTTATCCATGTTCTATGACTGTCAGATAAGTTTTCTATGATAGCAGTAACCAACAGTCAACATACGATTGAATACAATTAACGTTAAAGTTATTCTAACAGGATCAGAACATAGATCAACAAATACCGACTCGGCTCTTACGATGAAATAGGAATTTAAATGATAGTTCATTATCGTACCACGTATTTATAATGAGTTCGAAGATAACTGGCATGATTTCTTCTTTTCCCAACGATAGCTGTTCTGACCCTAGTGCAACATCTTGTAACCAAGATCTTGGCCAAGATACAAGGTACAGAAATGTTAACAGATCTTGAAAATTTAGCTACAGATATTAATGCCATTATCTTGTATCAAGATCTGTAAGCAGATCTTAGGTACAGAGCCATAAGATCTTAACTAAAATATCCGTGGTCAAAAATGACCAGTGAAAGTCGTTTACGGATGACTCTAAATACTATCGAGATAGTCAATCCGAAGTAAAATTTGACGCTGAATATGAATCTGAAATCGGATCGCTGCTGCAAACACAAGGAGTCAAGTTAGAGATTAATGGCCAGTTCAAAAACCGTTCACAATCGTCGTCCTCACGAACACCCTTGAATGAAGATCATGTTTTCTTAAATGATTCGGGACAACCTAGCTCCTAGCAGTAGTAAAATCATCCGTAACAGGTACTATCAGGTCACGAGCTTGGTGCAAGACGATAACGTTATTATCTTGTACCTAAATTATCAAGATCTGTTAACATTTCTGTTCCTTGTATCTTGGCCAAGATCTTGGCACAAGATCCAAGATCTTACTAACAAGATATTTCACTAGAAGAAGTATATTACAGCACCTAATAAAATTAGGGTCATATTCAATCATTTTTGTCCAGTTTCATTTGCTGATTTGTGTTGATTACAAAATTTCATTCTCTATCGTGTTAATGTGGTAGCCTTAGAAGAGAAATCTTCCAACTGATGAATTACTTTTGAGTCAAGACTATATGCATTGCGTAGACTCAAATGAGCGATGAATATCCTGAAAAGAGTTCGTTCCCTTAGATTATTTCTTGGGAAATACTACACATCCACGGCATTTTTCTGAATGAATACTTTGGTTCCCCCTCAGAAATACCAGGTAGACTTATTTTCGAATTTTGACTTGAAACTTTGCATAGAGACAGATCTTAACAAGAATAGTTTTTTTTGTGTCTGTTTCAGATCGCGTTGCTGTTTCTATCATGAGATACAGCTATGATAATAGTGTTTCTTTTACATCGCTCATATAAATCGGTAGATTTAATGTCTCATAAAGGCCTGTTCCTATGCAAGGTTTCAAGTCAAAATTCAAACATTAGTTTTCCTGGTGTATCTCCGTAGTAATAATCTAAAGACTCGAAATCTTTTCAGGATATTTATAGCTCATTTGAACCTAAATAATGCACATAGTCTTGACTCAAAAGCGATTTGTCAGTTGGAATAGTTTTCCTATTAGAGGGAAGAGCCTTTTAATTTTTATTATCGAATCATTCTCCTCCACCGAGATAATCCTCCCAGTCTCATACTCTTAACTGTGTCAACATGCGTCCGAGAGTGTTTTTTGCATGACTTTAGGATCCACTTTAGTCATCCAAGGTTTATGCATGGGCATCTAAAGCTTTGACTATTTTCAGTTCAATCCTGTATTAGCGAACCAATTGTATTATTTCATTCTTTGTGCATCTCTGCTGAGTGATTTTAATAATGCAATCGTTCAATAGACAAATGAGAAGCAATTAATGATAGAACCCCGCTGAGCATGATGGATTTGATTTTGTCGAAGTGGCTCAGTGAAAAAAATTGAATACAATGTCATTCTATCAGTCATTTTCAATAGAAGTTTTGAGTTTTGTATGTGTTTTTATCATCAAATGTAAATATTTTGGTTTAAGTGAATAATACAACAAGGAATACATTTTCTTTAGACACTACAGATTACAAGAGTGATTGAAAAGTAAGCAGCATAGCCTCTTCTAGGGTATTGACAAGGTTTCTCTCACATTATTAATATATGATCATAGCCTCTTCTAGGGTATTGACAAGGTTTCTCTCACCTTATTAATATACGATGTACGAAACTTCTGCAGTAATTTGATTAATACAAATAATCAGCAAGAGCGAATACTTCAACATTATCGAATCTATTTCATCATACAATAGTATTAAAAAATCAGAATATTTTCAAGAGATATATTTTAACATATCCAAATGTCGCATGTGCCAAAAAGTACCTTATTTGTAAAACAATCTCAAGTACGTATGGTGTTCGATATATTATTATCGAAATACTAATTAGACTTATCTTCTAATGAATGACTCAAAATAGTGAATCTTTTTTTTTTTCACAGGTAAAATCTCATCATACGAAATGAAAGCATAAGAATCGTTATTTATCCTCGCGTGTGAGTCCATCTCGAATACTTAAACCTTCTGTGGACCATCATTCTCCGTCTAAGATGCCATCACCATTGAACCAAAGAAAGTCATCATCTAGAAACTTCAGCAAGTTAGTAACATTTATAGGATCATTCTCTATCTATCTATTGTTAAAACATGTTAAACTGTTTCTCAACTGCTATTTGTTTTAGGTCTTTGAAGAAAGGCACTATCAAGATTAAAAGAAAGTCCTTTCCGGCGTTCATTTTCTGTCTGCCAATCATTATTGTATTTGTATTGGCAGTCATGGTACTTGGTGTCTATGGAATTGTTACTATATTGAAAAAATCGACAGTAACTACAAGCACTGGTATAATGAGACTGACTTTAAGCCTTACGAATATTGAGATCAGATACGAAATGATTTTTTTCTAAGATTTATCTTGTTTTTTTCTTTCATATACGCAAGGTGATCAGTGCAGAAGCTAAAGAAATCTTGAAAACATCTATGCCAAATTGAGTGTTGTTGAATTTTGAAGGAAAACTATATTGATATGCGAGATTTTTGTTACCGGTCTAATCAGAATGGAAAAACTTGATTGATGGGTTAGTCGTCTCTTGACTAGGAAAACTTACTCATATACTCACTCGCTTTGTGCATATCATGTGAAGAACGCGACGTACTAGCTTTTTTATAAGCGTTCTTCGACGACAGTTTTAATGAAATTGAATTCTCATTTCTGTTGATTCAAATTTGAAAAAGAATGAAACAGACTTTGTTGTTTTAATGTTTTTCATTTTATATGAACTATTTACCTAGTGAATGCCCTCGGATCTACAACCACTGCAACTATCACAACAGCCACTACTACAATAACTAACACGACAGCGACTACTTCACGTAAGTGTACTCTTGCCGTTCATTGTTCCATTGCAATATTTAAAAGAAGATGATTCTATAGCAGCTCAATCAACAGACATAGTTCTTTGTGAAATCATAAACAAATAAGAAATAATTAAATTTTCCATTTTCGACTTTTCAGTATGAAACCATAATTGCTATGCAGTGTGCTAGTTCATATAAATTCGAGCACAAACGCAATACAATAATATATCGTATTGCTCAGGTGTTCAAATTCTATCACAATAGTTTTCATTTATCAATTAACCAAAGAAAAGTATTAAAAAAACTTTAGTATATGAGATGTTAAATGAACCATTGGCATAGAGAATCACTGGACGAGCATATCATGATAAAGAAAAGGCGTGAATATTTTTCGAGTAATTTTTACACAATTGCTCATGAATG